AGACGACTTTCATAGCCGCCACACTATTGTTATTAAAACGTTTGTTAGAAAAATTGCTCAGTTATAGCTATCGTTAAAGGGAGTATTCGCGAAAAATACCCCCAATAGGCTAAATTCGATAAAACAATGCTTTTGATCGCTACTAATCTTACTTCTATCTGTTGCGTCTGTAAGGAAAAAAATTGTTAAAGACGTCTCATACCGAAAAACGTAGTGTCATACAAATTAAGAAAATTGCAACATACGACTAAGACCGTAAAAAATCAATTTAATTTCAAACAAATCATTCAGATATTACAACCTATAGTCATCGATTATCTTTTGCCACATTTGTATATAGTTTAACAATTTTCTCCGTATAGACGCAACAGATAGAAGTAGATTTACCCCGGACTAACCAGAGTTAGAGGCATTCGGTATCTTTTATTTTAAATCATGCGCGTTTTGGTTTTTATTTTAACAATCTTTAAACTTGCGAATTTGTTTGTTAAATACTTTTTATTCAAAACGCATATGCCGGCAAAAAATTATTTAAAAAAGAAGGCTGAAAAATTATGTTTAATAGGAGAAATTGTGATCGAAAGTCATAGCTTTCTGGAATATTGACAGAACCGTTAAATCAACTTGGATTAGTAGCGATCAAAAGCGCTTTTTTATCGCATTAAGCCTATACTCTAAGCCCAAGGAGTTGCGACACTTATAAGTCAATCATGTCATAAAAATGGTTGAGACTGTTTATAAGCAGGCTGAATTTATGCATGAAGGGTCACTTGTAATTACGCTTACAGTCCCGTAAACCGTCTCTTAGTTACTTTGTTCACATGCATTCACCCTATATAAATATCGAAGATATTGAAGATGTCTACACGTATTGAAGATATAGGAAGTGATAGAATTCATGTTACTAATCCACTCTACCAATTTTCCACTGAAGGAAATAACAATTATTTACAGCCAGCAAAAAATGTATTTATAAGTCTGATTTTAAAATACTAAAATTCAATTATCTAATGTTATTCTTTTTTTAGTTATTATGGATCTTTTATAAACATAAAATCGGTATTCTGAATTTTGTATTGTATGGGTAAAACGCGACATCTTTAACACAAAAAAGTTTTAGGTTTTTGTTGACTACTTACTTTAAATGTTCTCCATTTTTTTGGAAACATTTCATTGCTCTAATACTTAGATATCTTTAAAATTGATAGCCTTGTTTAAAGGGAGTGACCGACAATGTATGTTAGTTGAATTGAGAATGTAGTATTGTGGAGAATTTTTAGGATTCATTTAAGACATATAAAATGTTTTAATGATGTATAATTACTGAGTTTCAGCGCAAAGTCGATGTTCAAAATCATCTATTTGGGCGGTTACGTTTTGATATTCGATTTTTATTAAATTATTAAATAACGACGACAAAAATGTAAAAAAAATCTACATGAAACTAATTAGTTGTTTAAGAACAGATTGAGAAAATAAAATGAACTCCTATCAACTAAAATAACAGTTATCAGTTTTTGTAATGTCTAATTGTTCACGAAGCTGTTATGCAGATCTCCTGCAATTTTTATTGAAAAGACGACATTAAAAGAATTTGAAGAAATCTGCTAACAAAAGTGTAAGAATAAGAAATTCAATATAAGGATGAAAAGGGAATAATTGATTCTTACATTGACTTTCACTTTCACTTTCACGGATAACAAATTTCGCGAAAATATTTTTGCAAACAGTTTTTCGCTAAAATCATTAAGATTTTCAGGCGGTATTTTGTCTTTTTTGACGAATTTTCGCAAAAATTTAGCATTTTCTTATTCCAAATTTTTTTCGCGAAATGTTCTCATTTCTTATTTCGTTTTTTTGCAAAACAGATTGAAGCGAAATTTCGCGAAAAAGCGAAAATTGTGAGAACCTTGTGACTGTGGAATATGAACACACATTGATTTTTTTTATGTTTTTACTGCAGAGCAAATATCTGAGAAGACATTTCTTAAATCACTTTTTAAGTGAAATAGTTCTGTGTGCAACAGTGTCTTTTGTTCATTGTTCGTCTACTATTAAAAACGTTTTCCTATTCCAGAGTTTTTAGGTTCTCACTGTATAATAATAATATATAGCAATATTAAAACTAAAAGTAGATTCCTTCGCTGGTAAATTCTTTATTCATGAAATGAGGTCTTAGAGGCCTTGAACCAGGCAGTCAGTCAATCACAGGAACTATTGTCAGCTCAAACCTTAAATCCTATTTTTCTTGTTTAAAAGTCCAGAAATTGCATCGAAATTTGATTAAAATCTTTAGTTTGTTTAAAAGTCGCTGGAATTTAAAGAAGGCTTTTAGACTCAAGTTATGACTTTAAAAAGTCCAATGGACATAAGACATAGGAACTGTGCAGTGTAAACAGACTCATTTCACTTTATAAATTAGTTAATAAGTTACTATGTAAAAGTTTAGCTCTGTAACATCATCGAATACATTTGATTATTGTTTTGGTGTCGTCTTCACATCCACAGTTTTCTGGTTATCCCTTTTTCTCATTTTTTACAGAGAAATTATGTAGCAATTAAGTTTCATTAAATTCTGGTATCTGGCATGGGGTGCACCATGTCAAAGTGAGTTATAAAATAATATGATTTTTGTGTAAAATTCAATTATTTAACAAATAAGAGCGGCGGGGGAAAAAAGTGGGGGGAATTATGCGGGGGAAACCCAGTTAAACGACATTTAAAACACCAAAATACATTAGAAGTTTAATTTTTCTTCAAGTTTTATACAATTTTAAGCAGGATAATGACGAATCTCAAGGTTATTTTGAAACACTTTTTTTCTAGAATTGATTTTTTTCAAGAACGGCTATTTCCGCTATTTAACGATTTAAAAATCAACTGTTGCCATTTGTTAAGGAACTGTTTCGTTAGTATAAAAACCTGAGTTTCGTTAACCTAGCATCTAATTCTAATATTTTACAGAATGAACTAACAGTTAAAAAATAAATAGAAGGAAAATGAACACAAATTCATTCCGAACACTGAGATTTCTCTAATTAAATGTCGCGCAAAATTTCAAATGTCCCGGCTTCTGATCAGGTGCTCAAAATTCTGCGTTATCCACTCTGATTGGTTGGATTTTAGTAACTTTTCTGGGTTACAAACTAAAGATTAAAATAATCTTATAGGGATCGAGTGTTCGCGAAAAATGAAAGGGGGTATAGGCTTAATGCGATAAAAAAAGCGCTTTTGATCGCTACTAATCTTACTTCTATCTGTTACGTCTATGAGGAGAAAATTGTTAAAAAACGACTAATACCGAAACATACAAACATGCATACCATACAAATTCAGAAAGATGGAACATTCAACTCGGATCGTAAACAAATCAATTTAATTCTAAAAAATCATTCAGATATTACAAACAATAGTCTTCGATTATTTTTCGACGCCTTCGTAAATAGTTGATATTTCATAATATTTTATATTTTTCATGATCTGAGAGTTACTTTTGAAAACATTTATTCCTGTTTCGAGGATTTTTGATAATGAAGACGACATTTTCATATTTTCCAGGAATGTTCGCAAAATCCAGCGCCAGCGAAAATTATTTAAAAAAAACAAAATCAAAAATATTATGAAATATTAACTATATACGAATGCGTCGAAAAATAATCGATGACTACTGTTTGTAATATCTGAATGATTTGTTTGGAATTATATGATTTGTTTACCATCCGAGTTGAATGTTGCATCTTTCCGAATTTGTATGGACGCTGCGTTCTTCGGTGTGAGTCGTTTTTAACAATTTTCTCCTTATAGACGCATCAGAGAGAAGTAAGATTAGTAGCGATCAAAAGCGCTTTTTTATCGCATTAAGCCTATATATATACCCCCTTTCATTTTTCGCGAACACTTCCTTTAAGATTTACAGAAAGAGAAGATCAAACATTAATCTCGGTATTCAGTTTTCAGCTGTTGTTGTTTAGAAAGAAGAATTTGCCCGTTGTAACCGAATGGGATCTAAACCAAGCTGGACTCACCTGGGCAGATTGGAACTGGATGATCAGTCATAAAGGGTAAGCTATATTTTTATTCAATTTTTGTCTTTTACTATGTTTTTCTCCAGTTCACTTTATTTTTCTATATTTTTTACTAGATTCTTCTTATATTTCACTTGATTTGTCTCATTTTTATTTGATTTTTCCTATAATTAACTAAATTTTTCTTCATTTTACTAGACGTTTCTTACATTTTACTTGACTTTTCGTCATTTTTCTTATATTTTACATTATTTTTCTTTTATTGTACTTGATATTTCTTATATTTTAGTTAATTTTCTTATTTTTGATTGATTTTTCCTATAATTTACTTGATTTTTCTTATAATTTACTAGATTTTTCATATTATTCACTTAATTTTTCTTTATTTTACTAGACGTTTCTTAAATTCTTATATACTTGACTTTGCATAATTTTTCTTCAATTATCTTGATTTTTCTTATATTTTATATCATTTTTCTTATATTGTACTTTACTTTTCTTATAGTGTACTTGATTTTTCATTCTTTTGATTCTGTAAAAGATTTTTCCCAAGTTCAAAGTTAATTACCCATTAGAGGTTGGGTAATTTATTAATTAGAGGTTGGGTAATTTTTCAAGATTTATACACTGTAATGTAACTGTTTTAACTGATACACCTCTGCTAAACTAGTTATATACTTTTCTAACTTGAACAATTCAAGTAACAAGGATGTCTACAAAGGAATATCCCCCCCCCCTTTCCTAGCATACACACCCCCCCTTTCCTAGCATACACCTCAACCCCCCTTTCCTAGCATACACCTCCCCCTTTCCTAGCGTTCACCTCCCCCTTTTTAGCATATACCTTAGTCAATTAATGCTTTTAGGAATTACTAAAAAGGTTTCTTATCTGGGCATTCTTAGAATCAAAATTATTCATTTTTTTGAACGCAAAAGGAAAAACACTCTTCTACAGTGAGTTGGAACACATGAAGGAGTTTTTAGAAGAAAAAAAGTTAAAAATCGGAAACCGACAAGGCATTCCTAACCCCCGAAAGCAAATTGAAGACTTGTTTACTGCTATATTAGTAGTACACTTTTAAAAATTCAATCTAACAAAATTTGGTTTGGTGCTCCAACAAATTGTAATGAAATTCGTAAAAAGTGTGGTGTATTAAAAAGGTAATAATTAATTAAATATAAATTCAAGTGACCCTCCATGCAAAGATGGCAATGCACGATTTGCAACGGTACCCTTGAAACCTTTATCTGATCATTAATGTGGAAGATATTATAATTTTTCTAGGTTTAAAAGCAAATGATCAGTTTATCAAATTATGAACATTGACATCTAATTCATACTTAATAAGACAAAGTTTTAAAGGGTACCATTGTGAATTGGGCATTGCCATCTTTGCATTGAGGGTCACTTAAAATCACGTTCACAGTCCCTTTAAAGTTTTAAAGTTTGCGTGTATTAAGATATGAAGAAAAGGAGTTAGCTCAGATGCTGATAGGGTTCAGAGAGGACTTTCCAGCAGGAGGAATATTTAGGTAACATTACTTTCCAGCAGGAGGAATATTTAGGTAACATTACTTTCCAGCAGGAGGAATATTTAGGTAACATTAATTTCCAGCAGGAGGAATATTTAGGTAATATTACTTTACAGCAGGAGGAATATTTAGGTAACATTAATTTCCAGCAGGAGGAATATTTAGGTAATATTACTTTACAGCAGGAGGAATATTTAGGTAACATTTCTAGCTTTCCAGCAGGAGGAATATTTAGGTAACATTACTTTCCAGCAGGAGGAATATTTAGGTAACATTTCCAGCTTTCCAGCATGTTGAATATTTAGGTAACATTTCCAGCTTTCCAGCAGGAGGAATATTTAGGTAACATTACTTTCCAGCAGGAGGAATATTTAGGTAACATTACTTTCCAGCAGGAGGAATATTTAGGTAACATTACTTTCCAGCAGGAGGAATATTTAGGTAACAGCAGGAGGAATATTTAGGTAACATTACTTTCCAGCAGGAGGAATATTTAGGTAACATTTCCAGCTTTTCAACAGGTTGAATATTTAGGTAACATTTCCAGCTTTCCAGCAGGTTGAATATTTAGGTAACCTTACTTTCCAGTAGGAGAAATATTTAGGTAACATTTCCAGCTTTCCAGCAGGAGGAATATTTAGGTAACAATACTTTCAAGAAGGAGGAATGTTTAGGAGCGTTGATTTTGAGAATCGGTTTTATTTAGATTATTAATTAATAATTAGATTTTACATTAATCTAATTAGTTGTTTAGAAACAGGTTAAGAAAATTGAAAATTAACTCTTATTATAGAAAATAAGTAATCTTATTCATGTGTCATGTCTCAATGTTCAAAATCATTTTCTGTCGATTTCCTTGAATTTTTAATGAAAAGACGACATTTAAAGAATTTGAAGAAATCTGCGAACAAATTAATTAAGAATAAGAAAATCAATATAATGTTAAAAAAGATACAATTGATTCTAACATTGATCTATTGACAAATTTCTAATGAGAAATATGTTCCTAAACATCAAATTAGTTAACTGTAGAATTTTTGTTACATTTTTGTCGTCGTTATTTAATAATTTAAAAAAAGTTGATTCTAAAAACGTACCCATCCAATGGATGATTTTGAACGTCGACTTTGCGCTCAAACTCAGTAATTATACATCATTAAAACGTTTATATGTCTCAAATGAATCCTAAAAATTTCTCCAATATACTACAGTTTTAATAATACATTGCCGGTCACTTTCAAAATAAAACATACTTTGCATGATGTGACTGCAAAGTTATTTGTATGTAATAAATATCCATGCAAATAAATTCTAAAACAACAGAATCTCTTTAGAGTTGAGAGATAGATATTATAATGCTAAATGAATAGAGGGAAAAATTAGCCAAAAATTTTATTTATTGTTTATTGCAGTTTAGTCTTTTATGGATTTGTTTTACTTTTAGAATTTTAATTTTACTGATTTTTTTCAGACATCAATTTGAAGAATTTTTCCCGGAAATCAAGATGGGGAAAAGTATGTCAGACATGGTCTTCAGGTGATTTATCAGCAAATTGAGACAAACTCTTCATTTTTTCCCCCTATATCTTTGCAACCCAATATCGTACAACTCAGATAGTTCAAACTAAACGAATTATGTTAGATCAAATAATCTTAGTTTGAAATATGAAAGGTTTACATTATCAGTATGCAAAGATATAGAGAGTTTGAGTTTGTGGCAAAGACTCAATTCCTTTGATAAATTGTCAAAAGTTAATTCATTTGTTGTCTTTTGAAAATAGTCGACCTTGAATTGAATTAATATGTCTGCATTTAAGATTTAGATCAATGAGTGATCCCAAAATTCACAAAACAAATATTCTGACTTCTGAAGACGTTACAGCGTTCATTCTACAATACAATGCATGAAAAAATAATATTTTTTATAATTAGTGTTCTTGATGGGGATCATAATGGATACCTGGATTTCAAGGAATTTCAACAGGTAAAGGCAGTGGCACACATTTATGGTAAGTTCTACCCTTTAACCGGATCCAAGTTTTTGATTCAAAGGGCATGGGAAGGGATGTTTCCACCTTTTGAAAGCAAACTTAGGTCATCTTGTTTTTGAGGTAAAAAGTTTAAAACTATTTAAGATACTATTATTGTTTTGTTTTTTAGTTTCAATTTTAAAAAACTCTCAACCTCCGTTTAAAAAATAATACCCATGCTATTATTACTATGTATTTCCTACGGTTAGTTTAAACTTTTAATAAAATTCAGGTAGTCGTTTAGCTAAGAATTAACTTTTTTGTTTCATTAATAGTATTTACCATTATTTTTATAAGTTACAGTTCGTTAACAAGCTCAATATTATTAGCTGCGTAACATAATATATTTTAAACAGTTTTTTTTCAACAGTTTTATTAATTAACAAATAAAAAAAATAGCAGTCTTTGCCGGTTGATACGGACACTTCAGTTAATTTTTCAAAATTTCCGTTTCGTCAACGGAACTTCACCTAGCACCACTCCAGACTATTTATTCATGAGAGAATCAGCAAAGAAGTTTTTAATTTTTCTCAATTTGTATTTGTTGAGGCAATTGACCTGGTAGGAGCCAGACTCCCAGATGACAGACTCAGGTATAGAAATAATTTTAATAAAATAATTTTTACCCGCTTCTAGGGAAACATTTATAGTACTGGGCGTGTTCCTGTTTTTTTTTGATTGTTTGTTCCTCGTTTGTTCTTATTCCAATCATTCCATCCCCATTTCGTTCCGTTCTTTGTGTTCTTGATCGTGAAGGGTTCCGAGAACGGTTCCAAGGAACGGGTTGGAATGGGTTACGAGGGGAGAGGTTGGGTAAAGAGAGGTAACATGGTCATTGGCCAATCCCGCCAAACTGACAGAAATTACAATTGTATGGGTAAATTAAAAATATTCACCCATTTCTATTATTTCTAGATGATTTAGAACATGTTTCTTTTAGAACGATTTCAGACAGTTCTTTTCAACCAATTACCTTTTGTTCCATATTCGTTTTTTTATAGATCGTTCCAATATTTTTAAGAACACGTTCTATGTGTTCGTTCTTTTTTAAAGAACAATTTCATCGTTCTTGAAAATTCAGTTCGTTCCCACGAAAGAACGATCGTTCCCTGAGGACAACGCCCAGCCCTTAAACATGTTTAAAGAAAACTTACTGAAAAAATTATACATTCATGAAATCACTCACGGCAATCTGAGAAGGATTTCTAAATATGTGAATTATGCTTATCCATTAAAATATTTCTTAAAGTTCCAAATGGTTCAGGTGGTCTTTCAAGCTGTATGATGAAGACAATTCTGGGAGTGTACAGCTTGCTGAGATGGAGAAGGTAGAATTTAGAATGGTGTAGGCCTGGGCAACTTTTTATCAACACCAGTAAAAGCCAATAATTACCCCAACCTGAATTCAAATACCTTTCATTAGATGTTAATACAATTATAATGAAATGTTTATGGTCTCAAATTTAAAAGATAAAAAATGTAGTAGGATTGGGTTAGGCATAAGTAAAGCATTAACTGCTTTCACTGTTATTAATGGAAAGTTGCCCAGGCCTACAGGGATGCAGAACAAATTACAATTGTTTTTGTTCATCCATTCCCGGCAAACCAAATAACGTTAAGTTATCTTAAAACATTGTAGTAATGGTTCCTAACCTGAACAAAAATGATCACATTGTAATGTAACATTTGGCATACATATTCTAAACATTTAACACTATTTAAATGAAGCATCAATTCTAATTCCACTATAGTTCCGCCCCCCTAATTCTGTTGAATAAAACACACTAGGTTAACCAATTACTGGGTAAACTAAATGGGCAGGTACAAGTAAACACACAACTCCAGGCAATGTGATTCAATGTTCTAGGTTATGGAATGTGTTTACAATATGTTTGAGGGAATGGGACAGCGTCCAAGTGGCGATCCTAAGGTAAAAGAGAGTTTAAAACACACTATTGTGAAATAATATCTAGTCCCTGAATAACTAAGCATTCATAATCTTGTTTGCATTTGGAAAATTTGTTGGACTTTTGACCTTTAAAATATGCAAGACAAGCTATGATTTAAGTTAAACATTAAAATATACTATGCTTTAATCCTAAAGGCCAAAATCTGCAGTTAAGTCTGATAAGTTTGATCAATGCTGTTCTGAAATGATTAGATTCGAGCCAAGGAGATATTTGAGAAGATTGATATCAACGGAGATGGAGAACTAACAGAGAATGAATTTGTTCGGGTAATTTCAATTGTTTATTTCAGCTTTGGGAATGGGTACAGTTTTGAGAAAAGGTTTTTATTTTTTGTTCCTGATCAGTCCACTTTGGTCATGCTGTTCACAAGTACAGACAAAATATTAAATATTTCAACTGCAAAAAAGGATGGGTGTTGTGATCAATGTATAACGAGAGTGTCATAAGCTGAATCCTTCTTAGGATAAAAATTGCTTTAACTATTAAAATATGATCCTCAAAGTAAATTTTAAAAAACGACAGTGACTATTTGCAGGGTTGCTCTGAGGATAAAGAAATGATGACATTACTGAACAGTCTTTTCACCTCCATGGTCGGGAATTGATTTCTCTTAACTCATAAAAAATATTTAAGTATATATGGACATTGCACATTCAGGAGAGAAATTATCTATTTAAGTTTTACACAATTTTGACCAAACTTTTTCTAAAATAGCTGAAGATTGAAATCAAGAAGTTTGCATCATACCTAAAAGTTTAAGTTAACAAAAAAATCAACATCTCTAGCAATTTTCAAATGTGTGCAGTGTGCATATTTTATTAATAGCTGTGATTTCTTGTTAAGAAATGTATCACATCTATGTAATAAAACAAAACATTTATACATATGTATAGTTTAAATGTGAGTGTTATTTTAGACCCAAATTAAGAATCAATTTACAATCAGCTTATGATTACAGGGGAAGAAAGTTCCAAACTGTGTAATCATGTTCCAAACCTGACACTGAGTCCCAAATTTGGGCACAAATATCATGATCAACATTTTAGTGACTCTTCATGTGCCAAGTGCAAAAATCAATTAAATAAACTATCTCCAACATATTATCATGCATGACGAGAAATACAAATAACACTTTTTACTACTAATCTAAAATTAGAACTGTGAGCAATTGTTTATTTTCAATTAAAACCATACCATTTCGAAACAATATACAAGGTTTCCCATTTTTACACATGTCACAAATTCAAATCTTGGACACATTTTGGAACATAAACCAACTTTTGAAACAATCGATAATCGATAATTGAAACATTAAAAAATTCAGCAAAAAATGCGCTTCCATGATTTACAAAATAGCATGAGTCCCTGAAAATATTATTATCTTCTAAATTATTCTAAAATTTGTTTGCACATTTTACTTTAAAATACTGAGAGTACAGATGAAATAAAATTTTGTCAATTTTCAATAAAAATGTTCAGCATTTTTCTGTCATTGAAATCACCAGCTGTCTATATGATCAGGATCTGAAAGTGCTGCTGCCCAGTAATCATGAAGAGTAAGCTGACCCTCTAGTCCACTAGTTTAGATCAAACAAAAAATTATAATTCTTTTGTTTGATAGTTCTTAAAAACCTTAAAAAAAGATTTTTTTAAAACCTTATATTTAACTTCCTGCAGTTTCCTACTATATTTTTGTTAAACCCCAAAAACCAAAGGAACTGAATTCTCATTAGGGTTGGGCAAAGTTCCACTAACAAAACAGAGGTTTTCGAACATTAACAGAAGAGTCCGCTATTTTTTCAATCCTTAATTAAACTGATTAGCCGTTTTTGAAAAAAAAAAAACAGTTGAAAACGAAAACAAAATGAGTGGGTTTTCTGCTAAAACTGCAAAAAGATTAACAAAATTAACATTCCCTTCTTATCTTTGAAACTAATAGCTACCTGAATTATATTTGTTTTAACAGTTGGAACTAACCATTAACGGAACGGCAAGAAAAAGTGGAAATGTCCCCAGCCCTAGTTCTCCCACAATTTGTGATTTTGGTACTTCCTTTATTTTTGCAATCCTTGATGTTGAACTTTGATATTTCAATCTATGAATTCTTTTTGGTTAAATAATCTAAGTTGCAATTTTGACATTGATCTAGCCTTAGCTAGTTTAACTACTTTTCTCCTCCAAGATTAACCAGAAATACAGTTAAAATTGATTTTGGCATGACAGATAAAATTGCTGTGCTAGTTTTGGTAGGTTAACTACTTCTTGCTTTTCAAACATTTTCTCCTAAGATATTAAACTTAATTAATTGTTGATTTCCTAGATGTAATTAGACAACATTGACCTACTAGGAGGATCCCAGAAACATATCCCTGAATACACAAGGATATATATTTCCTTGATGTAATTAGACAACATTGACCCACACTAGGAGGATCCCAGAAACATATGTCCCTGAATACACAAGGGTATATATTTCCTAGATGTAATTAGACAACATTGACCCACTAGGAGGATCCCAGAAACATATGTCCCTGAATACACAAGGGTATATATTTCCTAGATGTAATTAGACAACATTGACCTACTAGGAGGATCCCAGGAACATGTCCCTGAATACACAAGGATATATATTTCCTATATATAATTAGACAACATTGACCTACTAGGAGGATCCAAGAAACATGTCCCTGAATACACAAGGATATATATTTCCTATATATAATTAGACAACATTGACCCACTAGGAGGATCCCAGAAACATGTCCCTGAATACACAAGGATATATATTTCCTATATATAATTAGACAACATTGACCAACTAGGAGTATCCCAGAAACTTGTCCCTGAATACACAAGGGCATATATTTCCTATTTGTACTAACACAACATTGACCAACTAGGAGGATCCCAGAAACATATGTCCCTGAATACACAAGGTACATATTTTCCAGATGTAATATGACAACATTGACCCACTAGGAGGATCCCAGAAACATATCCCTGAATACACAAGGATATATATTTCCTAGATGTAATAAGACAACATTGACCCCTTAGGAGAATCCCAAAAACATGTCCCTAAATACACAAAGGTATAAATTTTCAAGAATTTGAAAGGAAATTTTTGATATTCTGGAGGGGAAAAAAGTCTTTTCATCCACTGGACCCTTTATGATACTTTTAACTTAAAAATTCATTTTATAAAACATTTATTGTCCCCAGCTCAGTGAATAATACCCTAAAAGAAAAATCTACTCACTGCAAAAATGTAATAACTATTTACAATTATTTTACAAGGAAGTTAAGAGAAATTGACTTCACCATGGGTTTCTAAAGCCAATTTGATTACAGGACCCAGTCAAGGATGTTCTGTTGTCAAAATTGGTCAAATAACATTTTTAATTTCTCTAAAAAGTAGTTTTACAATTTTATCGTTTCTAAAGATGAATCAGTGGTTATTTTACCTAATTATCCCCAGGGACAGAAAATAACTTAATGTCTCTATGTTAGGGGAATCATAGGTCAGTAATGTTGGTCAAAAGGTGGTACAATGAATTAGAAAATAGGGTAATGATTTTCAATAAAATATTTACCCCTGGAAAACCATTTAGCTGCTCACAAAAAGCTTTCAAGGGATCATTCTACTTTTTGAAAATACCTGTAATGGGGAAATTTTGTATAACCACCAGTCTATCTTGATGCTCAATAGTCGTTTTTTATAAAAAACATCCCTTAATTGCCAAATGTGCATTTAAAAGTTGTTTTTATTTACATTTAGATTTGACGTTATATATTTTTTTGGAGCAATGGCTAAGCCAAAAGGCAAAAATCTAAAGGTAATGAAGTTATTAAAATTACTAAAATAATGAGCATTTTTAAAGGTAAACATTCCCCTTAAATTACCTCAACATGAGTATTATGTGATCTGTAGGATAGAAGAGAATGACTAGATCCTAGATCTAGACAGTTTTCTAGATTCCAAAATACCTACAAAAAAATCTAGAGTAAGCAAAAAAGCTGGGTTCATAATACAGTGGAAATATATTAAAATTCAAAAATATTTTTTGTTAGAAAGAAAAAAAGGTTGCAAAACTTTTATTTTTGTGTAAAATTATTTTTTCTTCATAAATAAGTTAAGAAATGTGTTTTTATTATATTCCAATGTTTCCTAAATATCTATCGAATTATCACAAATTCATTAATTAGGAGAATTTGTAAACAGTAGATAAATATGGTTTTAAAATTTCATTTTTAAGTGTTGGTGTAGATTTGCACTAACAACTTTTCGTGGAATTTTTTGTTAGATCTCTTTCATTTGGATCAAATATAGTGTTAAAACATTTTTAAATACATCTCTGAAAATTAAATATTTCTTTTTTTAAATGTCTCACGGATTTTTTTCTATGTGTTTTGAAAATAATTTAGCATTTTGTTAATTAGATTTTAATATTTTTTAACCTCAAAAAGGGACCCTCAAAATACGTTTTGCAAAAAAGGGCTATAATACCGATTTCTTAGTTGCATGGGAATAATTTGATACCCAATATTAATAACAAGATATTAAAAATGCTTTGGATATTTTCTTTTTGCATACATTTTCTATTAGTAAATTAAACAATTCTCATTTGTTTTAAAAAATCCTAATTTACGTTTTTACGTTCAAGACCTTCAAATCCTCCATTTTATTATTCCTTTTTGTTAAAAACAAGTAAATATTTTTTTTTAAGTAATTGCTTACCAAATATCCATCGTCATCTCCTGATACAATTCTACAAATAAAAATATTTTTAAAGGGAATGTAAGCGTAATTTCATGAGGCCCTTCATGCGAAGATGACATGTCTGATTTACAAGTGTACCATTGAAACCGTTATGTATGAATAATTTGGAAAATATTGTCACTTTTCCAGGTAAAAAAGTGTACAATTCTGATAATTTATATATGTTTTACTGCAGTAGAAAGGCGCAAGTCACTTTTGTAGAGAACTAGAAAATAATCAGTTTTCAAAATTGTAGCCATTAATATAAAATTCACAATTGATCAGATACAGCTATTAATGGTGAATCAAGAATTGCAATCTTTTTATCGAGGGTTACTTAAAATTATGCTGACAGATCCTAAATTAGTTTTCTAAATTGTATTCAAGAGTCGCGGTTATATTATATTTTTATTTTATAAACAAATTAAAATAAAGAAGGTTAACTAATATAGAATAATTAAAATATGGAATTATGTTAAAAATAGTGTTGAGATAATATTTTCATGAGGAGAGCTGAAAGGTTTATTTTCATTTATGTGTCGTTACACAACAATACGGAAAATGTCGTCTCTTAAGATAGATAGATAAAAAATGATATGACGTCACTCTCGCCTCTATACTCAGTGACGTTATGGGGTTTTTATCTATCTATCTTGGGAAACGAAATTTCCATACATTAGAGCGCATCGAGAATATATAACCAACCTTATTATACAACCTTGTTATAACTTACCTTTTCATATTAAAATCTATCGATCTGACATTATTCTCAGTTTTCAGCACTCTTAAACATACACCAGCCTTAATAGTGTAAATGTAAGTGTAAGTGTAAGTGTAAGTGTAAGTATAAGTGTAAGTATAAGTGTAAGTGTAAGTGTAAGTGTAAGTGTAAGTGTAAGTGTAAGTGTAAGTGTAAGTGTAAGTGTAAGTGTAAGTGGAAGTGGAAGTTTAACTTTTTTAAACAAGTAGAATGTAGGTTAAATAATTTATTTCTAATCAATTTTAAATAGTTATAACCAACTCAATAGTGATGTTAGTTTAAAATTACTTTATTTCAAATTTTTAAATAAATGTACAGGGTGTCCCAAAAAACATGGGAATTCAGCGACGAATTCGATATCGTCTTTGTTATGAATTAGCATTGTAATACCTAATTTCAAAAGCCATAATATTATTATGTCTGCTAGAGTTTATTTTATGAAAAGAGTAAAAGGCTATAAAGATGTGTCCATAATGTCTCCGCAAGATAAACAGTGAAGACGGACAAGTTTACTCTGTTTGTATACTGACATTTTTTTTGGTTTACTAAGTACATCCGTATGCAGTCAAAACATAAACAAACAAAATGTGAACATACAGGGTGTCCCACGAAACATGACATTTAATAAATCGTTGTTTTTAGTTAAACAAATCTTTTGTTTCATTATCTTTTACTTTGAAAGCAATTTTAATATAGCATGACTCCCATATAATATTTTTATTGATCTTTGGTATCAAACAACTTAACAAATTACGGAAAAAGACATTCTAAACTATTCACCAACTGTCATGTTTCGTGGGACACCCTGTAGCAGACGAAACTCTTACAGATTACAGCTTTCTCAGTAGGTATCACTATACTAAATCAAAGAATTATTTGAAAAGACGACATCGAATTCGTCACTGAATTCCCATGTTTATTGGGACACCCTGTATTTTTAAGATCATAAAATAAGAAAATAAAGTGACACCTGCCTGCACATTCCATATTCGAATACATCTTTCAGCACCTCGGGATCCACTTTTCAAATATCATTTCTTTGGATGAAATCTTAGAATTTGAGATTTTTAAGAAAAATCCTGCCATTTCCACAGTTTGCTTTTTTGTCCTGTTAATTTTCAACTATGCCCGCTGCCTTTGCCATTGTACAAGTTTACAACAGGCAGAAAATGAAAGTAGGATATGATAAAAAATATTCCTTATTGCTGTTGGGTAAATCATCCGCACTGTTGTAATCTAAACATCAATTTATTATCATATTATTAAAACTTCTGTTATACCTCCTCTATAAGAACCAAGACACAGTTTTAAAATAGAAAGATGTCTCATTTAAACTATGCCTTTTCTTAATTCGTTTCATCAATGGTTAAAGTTTAGTGATTGGACCAATTTGTTATTAGGAATCCAGAACCAATTGACATATTTTAATAAAGGAACAATGAGAGATCAGGTATATGCATCAGCTGATAAGTTTTTATATTTGACCAATAAGAATAAAGTTAACTAAAATTAGCTGATATTGTTAAGTGTACAGATTAAGGCGTTAAGCAATGGGATCAATTTACATCTCCTGAGTCTAAAACTAAAGAACAAAAAGTTACAGCTTAAATGCCGCCCAGACCACTTTGACTTAATTTAAACAACTACTTTAAGCTGCGCTCAAATATTTAACTCGTCGATTTTGGCAAGTTAAATAATTTAAACCCATTGATACCTGCATTTTCTCAATTTTTCAATCAATCAATATATCATTTATCCTGAGAAAACGGCATTCAATTTTGTGCATGAAAAGATTTAATTTAACATTCAAGTTAAAAAACGTTTTCCCAGAATCTCGTAGTTTCCACAATCCTATCCTTTGATTGGTTGACCAATTTCTCGGGAAATTTAAATTTCTCTTCAGGGTTAAATTAAGGAAGGTTAATATTTCAGTATCAACTTATTATTCAACTGCATGAAACTTTAAGCTGTAACTTAAACTTAATTCATAACTCTCGCATTTGTTAGTTTTAGACTCTGTCTTATTTCTTATTTTTGTTCACCATTTACCTTTGAAACATGACCTGTCAGATCTTTTATTTTTCTCCCATCAGCCCTGCTCCACAACTTAAAAAGAAAAATTGCCCGCTTTTAAAAAAGCAAAGCATCTTATTGGATTAATTATTATTGACAATAAACCATCGTTCAAAACAAAAGATGTATTAGCACTTAGCAGTAAAAATATCAGAATATTGTAAATTCAAATATCAAAACAAATATCTTTAGAATTAAACAATTTTGGTAAAAAGTTAAATAAATATTCCAGCTAAATGCAATCCTTAGTGAAAACTGAAAGTTACCATGGACCAGCTAGGGTGAGATGCATTCGGTTTCTTTAATATAAATTCAATGGCATTTTAGAAACTGGAAAACAATGGTACTGTAAGATAAAATTTTTCTAAGCTTCTTCTTTTTTAGAATTAAACAGTATTTGTTTATACCTTTAAAGTATTATCCTGACTGCCTGAAATTAAGAAAAGTGTATCAGCATCCAAACAAGTAACTGCTTGAGTGTGTCCCACAAGTTCCTAGAAATTCAAACAACTTATTCTTTAAAAAAGCTCTGAGGCCAGATTTTATGAAAAGAAGAAGCAGTTGAACTACAAAGATCATACAAAGCCATTTCTTTTCAGCTGAATCCGGAGTACAAGAGAAAACTGGTTGAACCAGCAATACATGGTTCAACTACTTCTCGAGCTACTTATAAAATCCGAACTCTGCATTTAGAAGCTGTATCAGAAATACATAAAATGTTTACAAGATTATTTCAAATCTATATTTGTATTTTGAATCCAATCCAAGCTTTGATTGGTCGAACACCATAATAAGATTGTTGACAATGTACTGATAAAACATTAAAAAATCAGACAATTGAAACCTACAAAACTTACACAGCAAACAACAAACTTAAAGTCACATATTCAGTGGCCGGATAACCACTAATCAGTTTATGTATATGAGTGTGAGTGAACGGGTTATATGTGGGGAAATACAGCTGTTCCCACAAAGAATGCGACCTCAAATAGGACTTTATTTTGCTGTTTTAAGACCATATTCAAGGCAAAAAAAAATTGTTAACTTAATAGAATTTTAGGTCATTATAAACGGTCGTTCGTTAATGGACGTTTTTTATTAATTTTCGAATACTTACCGTTCGTTAACGGACCGTTGCCCAGCCCTGCCTCTAACGTGTTATGAACCGAAATTTTTACTGTAATATTTACAAAACCTGTTTATGGACAAGATGGGTAGAGGTAAGATGTTGAAAAACAAGGATTCCTCCAGACTCAAGTCCAACAAACACTAGCTCACCCTATAGTGTTAATCTTTGAAATAGTAGGATTTTCAAGACGACATTCTGTATCCATTTTATTCATTTGAAAATAGAATTCAAATAAAATATCATTGATTCAATCTTAACCCATTCGTGACGGGACGGTCAATTTTGACCGGGTAAGGTTTTTAATTTTTAGCGCCTTCATTTTTAAACCAAATGTCGTCTCGTTTTATTCCAGATCCTTCCTACATATATGCCGAGTTTTGCCAATAGGTGGCAGGTCAATAGGTTATACCGGCTTCAGTTGGGAGGCAAACACAATGTCAACATCTTTAAATTCTGAAACCTCTGGGGACAACAGGTATAAATCAATGAAAAAATTTTCAATAAAGAAAAGTGGAGATACGGAACCCGGTCAATATTGACCTGGTCCGAGACGGTCAAAATTGACCGGGCGGTCAATTTTGACCTGGTCCGAGCCGGACAAAATGGGCCGGCCTCTGTATCTCCACAACCCTTTATTGAAAAAAATTGAAACTTTAGATCTACTCTATGGACACTATAATGAGTTAACCCTGTGAATTTCAGCAAGATCAGAAAAAAAAATTTGTCTCGTCACTAATGGGTTAAGTTTCGAAGGAACTGGAAACTTGCCTCACACATTTTCATCCTGATATCTTTGCTAATTTATGTCATAAATTCTACTGAATTAACCTCTCCCGATTGGGCTATTTTTGTCTAACATAGATCATTTAGTCCTTAGTGTTGAGAGGCGTGTGTCCCTAGTCCAACTTTTCAAGGCCTGCTCATTAAAAAAATTAAACCTCTGATCTAACACTTTAATGCTGAGGCTAGGTAGGTTTTAAAAAAGTTCAAAAATTACAATGGAAAAATATAGTTTTTTTTTTTACTTTTGAAAAATATTAGCATGTGACACATGTCTGTAGCTTATTTTAAGAGTTCTTGACTATTTTTGATGTCTTTGAAACACCGAATAGCCGTTGGACTGTCCTCCTACCCTATGCTTAAAAAATGCACAATTTATTCACAACTAGGTCAGGAAGGTCAGGAAGATACAGGGATTATAAAGTTTGCGGCAAGTGAGCTGACATTGATATATAAAATACATTTATGATAAATTAATCTATATAATTAAGCTCTTTACTCAAATCTATATATCCCTGATATCCTTGATATCCCTGATATCCTTGATATCCTTGATATCCTTGACATCCTTCATTTCTTAGCATTTCATAGAATTTCATTTCAAAGTGATTTTATGTTACCTGTTCAAGGCCGTGTATTCCAGTTAGATGAAATTAAATTATTATTTTTCATAATTTTGGTTTATTGAAATATTACTTGTAATTTGACGCATAGTGGCTGATGAGGAAGAGTTATGGAAAGATGTCGCTGATTCTAAAAAAAAATATTTAACGGTGAAAAATTAATTTGTTTGTATTTTACCTTTCTTTTGAAACTCCAAACACAAAGCTGTGAATCTCTGAAATATTTGTTTTTTATGACGAAACTTTTACAATTTATTTTTACACTGTAAATTCAGAACTTAAAGAAACCTTTAAAGAATATTGGTTTATTATTATAAAAGATTCTGAATAAAATCCCCACAACTCCTGATCTGGGGTTTCCCCGGTGCCGTATATTCCGAGAATTCCGACCTAGATGATTCTAACCTAAAGGTTTTCTGACCTAAATATCGAGTAGTTTCCACGTGTTTTAGGTCGGTTTGGTTGAAAAAAGCTTTAGGTCCGTTTGACATCGTATGAGAAATATATAGGTTTTCCGACCTAAGATTTATGATATATTTAGGTTGGTTGAGCATATATATTAGGTCTGTTTACCATGAAGTTTAAATTGGATTAGTGACAATTTTATGTCTGTTAAGCAATATTTTTAGGTTGGTTGAGCAATTTTTTTTAGGTCGGATGAGCAATATTTTTAGGTCGGATATGCAATATTTTTAGGTCGGATACGCAATTTTTTTAGGTCGGATGAGCAATTTTTTTAGGTCGGATGAGCAATTTCAAGGTCGGATGAGCAATATTTTTAGGTCGGATGAGCAATTTTTTAGGTCGGATGAGCAATATTCTTTAGGTCGGATGAGCAATTTTTTAGGTCGGATGAGCAATATTCTTAGGTCGGATGAGCAATATTTTTAGGTCGGATGAGCAATTTTTAGGTCGGATGAGCAATATTTTTAGGTCGGATGAGCAATTTTTTAGGTCGGATGAGCAATATTTTTAGGTCGGATACGCAATTTTTTAGGTCGGATGAGCAATATTTTTAGGTCGGATGAGCTTAGGTCGGATGAGCAATATTTTTAGGTCGGATGAGCAATATTTTTAGGTCAGATGAGCATTATTTTTAGGTCAGATGAGCAATATTTTTAGGTCGGATGAGCATTTTTTTTTAAGTCGGATGAGCAATATTTTTAGGTTGTTTTACCAATAAATCAAAGCCATAAGTGAACTGTACGACTACTGTTTCAGTAATGCGTAAAACGGGGTTTTTGAGGGGGGCTCAACACATCCGTTGGGGCCTGCAGTACATGCATCTCATATTTAAAACATGGATAAAATTGGTCATGTTGCGGTAGCCCCGGCCCCATAACCTGTCCTAGCCGCGGCGCTCGGCCCCCTAGTGTGTCCTAGCCGCAGCTCTAGGCCCCTAGCCTTGCTAGCCTGCAGCGCTTGGCTCAGACATGTGGCCGCAGCGCTCGGCCCCCTAGCCTGTCCTAGCCGCAGCGCTCGGCCCAGAAATGAGCTTAACCTAACCTAACCCTAAATATACAACCGACCTAAAATGAATGCTTATCTAACCTAAAATTGTTGCTTTACCAACCTAAAATATATTCCCAACTGACCTAAAATATGTTAATAACCGACCTAAATATATTTCCAATCTTTAGGACAGTTTGGGACATTTCGCTAATCGAACCTACAGATTTTTAGGTCGGAAAAACGTTAGGTCAGAAAAACGTTAGGTCAGAAAAACGTTAGGTTCGTTTCCTCTAGGTTTGATGAGCGGGTACCGTTTCCCCGCGTACTACAGTGAAACCCTTAATAACGAATACATCGGAAGAATTTATCAAATGTCGTCTTGGCAATTTTTCAACGAGTTTTATACTATATTTCGTAAATTTCAGAAAATAAATAAATATCCATGACTATGCGAGAACAGTTTTATAGAGTTCCATATAATCATTTAATTAAAAACCTAAATATCTGCAATATTCCATTATCAGAAAGTAAAGAATACGACATTTGATGAATTCTTTCGATGTATTCGTTATTAAGGGTTTCACTGCAGTTACTTGTATGCACCGAGATTAATCTTTTTTCACTTTTTTGAAAAACAAACTTCTGAAAAACGACATACAGTTAAACCCTAAATATTAAATACATCGAAAGAATTTACAAATGTCGTATTCTTCACTTTCTGATAATGGAATGTTGCAGATATCTAGTTTTTAATTAAATGATAATATGGAGCTCTTCAAATTGTGCATAGTCATGGCTATTTATTTATTTTCGCAAATCCTGAGATTTGCGTAAAACAAAGTATAAAACCCATTGATTTAGGGTTACTGTAGTTAGTAGTATGTACTATGTAGAAATGAATCGTTTTCACTTTTTTGAAAAACGATAACGAAAAACTTAACGATTGTTTTTAAAAGTTAAATTTATTAGTGTCCTAAACTTTGCAGAGCGGAATGTTAATATATTTAATTGTCCCAAAGGACATTAAAGTAAATTATTATCCCTCTGTCCCTTGGTGAAAGGTGGTAAATACTCTACCTTCCAACACTCACGAGAACATCACCATTACTAGATATTCCCAGAACCTCTCTGAAAAACATTAGATCCAGAGATTACAACTTTTGTGTGGATATTTTTAATCTTCAACACTTTATCTGGATATCCAATGTGGCCACCTTTGTGTTTGAGGATAAGTGCTTGATTCCTCAATTTAAGTTATCCCTGGAGAGTTTGACCACCGGGGGATATCAAGCAGGAATTTAATGAATATGTAGATCTGCATAAACTGAGATCTATGCTTGATCCCGAGATTTACAATATAAAAGTTCATGACTTTAGCTAATACTATTTTAAAATTTTTTCCATTTTGACAAAAATTGGTATTTTTATCATTTTATACAAAACTCAGTTACACAATATTTTTAAGAATTCCATTGGGGGACAAAGTTTTTTTCCGACGAAATTCTCCATGCTTGCTGCCTGCAGATAGATTATGGTAATATGGTAGGATTTTTTAGTTTATTTAAACCAAGGTTTTAATGCAAGGAAAGTTATTTCAGAGGTGTGCGCATCTTTTGTACTGCAGTGTACTGTATCTGGGCGGTAATGTAAACACAAGACGGATGTCACAGCCTGACATGGGATCCATCTTTTATTTAAAAAATCAATGAAATATTCTGGTCATAGCAAACTATTATTTTAATTTTAACCTCCTCAGACAATCAACGAACACTGATGCATTTACAACTTCCGCCCAGAAAGAACTGGTTTCAACATGTACGCAAAGTATAAGCAACTGAAATTAACTTTCCTTGCATTAGTACCTTGATTTTAACCATACAAAGGTTTTTTGACTTTTACTTATCCTGTCGGAGTCTGAAAAATGTTATCTAAAAGTTAGCCTTTTTACACTTTATTGCATTTGATCAAACGGTTTTTTCTGTTTGCTAGAATTTTATTTTATTTTTTGAAAAAAATACATTTGTTACTTTTTTGATCGTTAAATTGAGTGTATAAAGTGTATACAAATTGTGTTTTCAAAAATTGATATATTTTTCTTCAATTTTCTTTAAATGGTATATTTAGATAATCCATCTAATATAATTTTCCTAATAAAAATGTAAATTTATTTATGTTTTCCACCTGCTGTGAAACTCCAATGTTGTCTCAAGAATTAGGTTTGAGTCATAAATCTAGAGAAAATATTCTTGATAAAAAATCTTTATTTTTTGTCTCAATAATTTTGATTTTGTTCTTGATAATACTTTTATCTCAAAGTTTTTTAAAACATATGTATATGTAAAATTTGCTTGTTTGTGTGCGTTCAACAAACGTCAAAACGGCTGAACCGATCTGGCCTAATTTTTCGTGGAAACTCACAGGGAAGATTTATGGACCATCAACAAAGAAATTGAAAATGGACAAATTTTGTAATCCTGTTGACGGAAAACAGCAACACGCTAGACAAATCAGGATAATAGGCCAGTTCTAGGATTCTGGTGGGGGATGTTTATTTTCCCCGGACAATTCTTTCCCGATAGGCCGCACAAATACACACAACAGAGTAACCCCGTCTCAGAAATTCGATAACAAAATCTTTATTTCCTAAAAAATAACATAAATTATAGGTCATGTTTACTTGTACAATGTTATAATGAATATTAATAGTAGAAAAAATCTTACGAATTATTTAGGGATGGTCGGGGGTGGCTTATTGTTGATCAGTATTGAAATACGTTTTTAACTTCTGAAAAATTACAGTTGAATATTTAACGAAATTCACTTATGCTTCTTATGAAAATATTCTTGCTTAACTTTAATGATTTCACAATAACGAAAATGGTTGAAGTTCTGTGGGACAAAGAACAAAGAATATGCGGGCTGAAATAATTTGGTTTGGCCTGTCTCCGAGAGGAAATTTTACGTTGAAGACGACATTATCCGGAGTCTTAAAGTTAATGGTTAACAAATCCATACATCTTTGCAACCTGATTAGCAAATCAATGTGTGCGAAAGAAACTCAGTTCTTTTTGAATAGAAAAAAATGTAGACATTTACAATAGTTGAAAATGCACCAATTTCTACAGAAAAAAATTGAGACCAGCTAAAGGGACCGTTCACTTATTTGGGTAATTTCAGGTTAAACTAAACAGCCTATTCGCTGTTGAATGGTATTAGTCTAACTTTGCAAAGACAACTATGGCCGGAGAGACAGACGATTTTTTGTTCATAATTCGAGCGCAAAGGTCCCTTTAAAAGTTAAAATTGTTTTTGAAAAAAGGTGCGAAGCTGCATAGAAGCCTTGTATGGTAAAAGTGTATATTTTTATTTGGATGACCTGTACTTTTCCAGACTTTAATCCGCAAAATATTTCAAGATTAAACTGTGCCAGAGAACTAATTTGAACTCCACATTCTAACCGAGTTCTAAAAACTTATATTTTAGTTTATACAAGACAAATATTTAATCATAAAGGGAGTCCAGAGTCAAAAACTAAAGAATGTGAGAGTTTTTAGGGTAAAACCTGTCTAACCTGTTCCTTAACAACAGACAATTTACTGTAAATTCTTTTTTTACATTTTGCTCCGTATTTTAAATAATTGTAAAAAATAACGTTTCGGACCCCAACCATTCCTTCTTCATAGTGAAAATGCCTCATTGTTATCAAATGAATCTCGGTTCAAATATGCTAGCCGGTCTCTCCCTTTAAAGGGACTGTAAAGGAAAAATGAAAGGGGGTATTGGCTGAAAGCTAATCACTTTAGCTCTTGATCGCGACCCATGAAAGTTTTATCTGATGTTCCTGTCTCGAGAAATTGATATAAAACTGTGTTAAAATTATACAAAAGTTTGTTCATATATGTAAAATTTAGAAAATCTTAAACCTAAATCACGTGACCAGAGATGAAATTTAAAGAATTTGAGCCACGGTTTAAATCCGCCAAAACCCGGGTTAAATTCAGCGCTGGCTTAAATCTTGAAACATTTAATACAATTTTAAGTGGAACCAACCATATTTAAACCCCGGCTTAAATTTAAACCGCCGCTCAAATTCTTTAAATTCGGCCACTGAACTATCACCAATGCCTGTATCACTTTACTGCACTGTCATTGGTGGAATTTCTGGTCAAGTAATACGGACTTGTAAATAATATTATGAATTAAATCTATTAAAAATGGAAATAAAAAATATAAAATTAGAATTGGAGTAAACCTTAGTAATAATTAGCTTTCTCTGGGATATCATCGTTTTCAGATTGGTTGCTTATTTGCTGAATTTGATCTATTTAAACCCACTACTTTTATACAAAATTGTAAATATATTAATTTTCGTATAAATTTGACACAATCGTATATCAATTTCTCGAGATAGGAACATCAAATATAACTTTCATGGGTCGCGATCAAGAGCTAAAGTGATTAGCTTTCAGCCTAAACCCCCTTTCATTTTTCCTTTACAGTCCCTTTAAGTTAAAGCTTAAAAGTTCAATAAAATATTGAACTTAGGGTATTCAGCTATAATTTTATTAAGAATACATAACACTATGTATTCTATACATATTTTGTTCCATTTTATATCTTGTTTGTACACCCTCAACAACATGTTCATAATTTCATTAAGTTATACGTTATACAGTTTGAAGTTATTCGTTATACGGTTTGAAGTTATACGTTATACAGTTTGAAGTTATACAGTTTGAAGTTATACGTTATACGGTTTGATAAAGATCTGATTTTACCACTTAAAAAGTTTTCTCCATTTTTTGTTTGATTGCAGCCTACAGGCCAAATAGAAGATTGAAGATTGGAGTTTTTAGGGGAAAAGTTTACCCTAGTTAATAGTTGGCTGATTTTCTTTAGTTTAACAAGTTTTAGATACATGCAACTTAGAAACTTTTATTTTTAGTCATTTCTTTTTGGGTTTTGGTAATTTGAGATGCTTGCTCAATTTTAAATAGTTTACGTAAAATAAAGCGTTTTTAGAAAAAAGGGATTTATCTTTTGGTAAATAGTAAATAATTGTGTGCATTAATCATTATATTTACGAAATTTTACATTATGGCAACAATGCGTTCTACGAAACACTGCAAACTAAACATAAGGGTAAGCAGTGGGTATCCGAACCTTGCAGAGGAAGGGTGTCAGCAGAGCTTTCTAAGCCTGTTGAGAGAAAGGACGCTATGTGCGTTGTACTTGTATAGAAGTCTAGATAGCAAGGACACTTCTCTCCACAAGCGTGACTAATCCCGAACAAGATGAAGTACACGCTGATACAGGTTTTAAGGGGGAACAGAGCCTTCAATAAACTTTAAATCAAATACCATAAACTGGTTTTTCACCCTTCTCAAAATGGAAACTGGATTACTCATGGAAGACCTCTGACAATGATAGGGAAAAGACACACTCCCCGTGTTTTAAAGCGATGGGACAGCATGCTTAGTGGGTTATTTTTTCTTTAAAAAATCTGTCCACATGGGAATACACGTTAAAAGTGAGGACTATGGTATATCTCATACCTGTTACCCTTACACCCCCATCCTCATCCGCCTACCTCCTAAATTCCAACCTTATCCTACTTCACGAGCAGATATAGTGGAACTCAGAAACTGCTTTGCTGTGGAATCTTAATCAAAACTTTCAGAGAGAGATCATCATTGGTATCATGGGTGTTCCTTTCCTAGGGGGTACACCCAAATCACCTTGAACCTAGCCGAATGCAGTTAAGGCTAGGAGGTCTTTTAATTCTTTCTAACTTACTGCAAGACACTGATACATGTAATGCAGCTGACAAAGGGAAGTTCTCATTACAACAATGTCAGCAATAAACCTGCATTGATGGCCGATATCAAAAAACAATTGGAATAAATATAGAAACTCAAGAGCTGATATTGAAATACTTCAAATTGCCTGATCAGCTCTGAAAACTGCATATTAACCCTCCTGGGGGGGCGGGGGTATGCAGCTAATTGAATGAGCAAAACAGGACAGCCAGGAAGCAAGAAGATAGGAAAAATGAGTAACTGCATTCTGCATTAAATACATGTATCAATTAATTTGTTTCATAAAAAAATTATAAATAAATAAATTGATAAAGTTAAAAAACATAAGGGGAAGGTGATATTGTTACGACTTTGTGACATTGTAGCTCCTCTAGATTTGATTATGATTGAAAACATATAAGTTTTACCCCGGAAATAGTTTTTTAAATTCATGGTTTTCATAACTTAACATAAAATTTTTGGTGCGATTCGTAGAATAACACTCTAAACCATGAACATTGAACAACTCTGTATACCCTACTGAGAAATAATAAATCATGTAAATTCTTAGGTAAGTTGCCGCATTGGCAATTGTCACTTGGGAGGTCGCCCTGGGGAATATGCCTTTGGGAAACTACATAACATTTGTTTACACCATCAGGTTGCAAATATAAAGCGATTAGAAAATTTAAGTTTGTTGCAAACACTTAATCCCTTTATGATTGCTAACTCTACCTAGTTGGAAGCCATGAATCCCAATGAAGTTCCAGTCTTCTCTTGTTTCTCCAGAACATGTCCTAATTAGAAGCATAGCAAGGTTGTTCTTTCTTTTAATTCATTTTAGAAATAATTTCCAGCATTTCATGTAAAGTAATGTCCAGAGAACTCTGAAATATGAAGACGACTTTTATAACCAAGCTATAACTTGAAAGTATTGTCTAATAAGACTATTTCATGTTATCTTTGCATAATGGTGAAAAAGTATGAGTTGTACTACTTTATTTAAGTAAAAAAGCGACCCTTTAGGCTTTAAAGCACCAAGGCCAATGAAACTGGTTTATTTAAAATACTATCCAAATTTTTCAACTGCTAGACTATCTAGACAAAAAAATTATTGATTTTTTAAACATCTGAACCATTACTTCAAACTCTTAATTGTTTTTAGTGCAGTGGGTAAATACAATTTTTGAATGCTTAATGGTTATTTATGTTGCACATTTCTTTTTTTCAAATAGTCATTATTTTCGTTTTTTTCCATTATCTTTTATCGCCTGAACCAGAAACCTGAATTATAGCTTGAAGTTGAGTGCTACCCAGCTCAAGGCTTGATAGTGTTATTCCATCCAAATTCATCAAAATTCTAAATAGAATTTGTAAATGTCAAAACTGAAAATTTCAGAGACGTAATTAGTTAATGAAATTACTAACGTATCATCAATTCTTACAAACGGCAAATAAAGATTTAGATTTAGATTGAACCTGGATCTAAAATGGAATTACTACCTGTCAATAATAGTTGGATAATGTCCTGTATTTATCAGCTTAAATAACACTAGCAGACCATCGTTGGATAGCATATCACCTTCTCTTGATACTGGGGCCTGATTAGAAAACGAATTTGAGCTAGGTCGCTGAACTAAATACCGTCTACAGTGTAGCTGTTTACATCTATAGGATATATGATATGTGATTCAAATACTTATCTACAGTGTAGCTGTTTACATCTATAGGATATAGGATCAGTGATTCAAACTAATCTACAGTGTAGCTGTTTACATCTATAGGATATAGGATCAGTGATTCAAATACTTATCTACAGTGTAGCTGTTTACATCTATAGGATATAGGATCAGTGATTCAAGTACTAATCTACAGTGTAGCTGTTTACATCTATAGGATATAGGATCAGTGATTCAAATACGTATTTACAGTGTAGCTGTTTACATCATAGGATATAGGATCAGTGATTAAAATACTAATCTACAGCGTAGCTGTTTACATCTATAGGATATAGGATCAGTGATTCAAGTACTAATCTACAGTGTAGCTGTTTACATCTATAGGATATAGGATCAGTGATTAAAATACTAATCTACAGCGTAGCTGTTTACATCTATAGGATATAGGATTAGTGATTCAAATACTAATCTACAGTGTAGCTGTTTACACCTATAGAATATAGGATCAGTGATTCAAATACTTATCTACAGTGTAGCTGTTTACATCTATAGGATATGGGATCAGTGATTCAAATACTTATTTACAGTGTAGCTGTTTACATCATAGGATGATAGGATATAGGATCAGTGATTCAAATACTTATTTACAGTGTAGCTGTTTACATCATAGGATGATAGGATCAGTGATTCAAATACAATTATCTACAGTGTAGCTGTTTACATCATAGGATATAGGATCAGTGATTCAAATACTTATCTACAGTGTAGCTGTTTACATCTATAGGATATAGGATCAGTAATCCAGGATTTCATCAATATATGTTCATGTCTATAGCTTATAGCTGATAACAATACATTGCGGAACTACAGATATTTATTTGAATTGACGGTAGGTAGTTTAGTCTCTGATTAATATGAAGTTTTTAAGATATTGAATACACAAGAAAATGAATCAACCCAGCAAGTCTGCAACTGTAGTTTAATTTAATTATTTACAATCAGAGAGGAATAATGCAACTCTGTGATTTTTTATGAACGCTATACGCTATACGCTATACGCTATACGCTGCTGGGTTTAAGACGTTTTTAATCCTTATCTCCTTATAAACGCAACAGATAGAAGTAAAATTAGTAGTGATCGATATCGAATCTAATTCGATATCAGCCTGTACCCCTTTCATTTTTCGAGATCACTCTCTTTAATTTCTAAACATGAAGGAAGGAAGGAAAGGTATATGGACCGTAAAAATTGAAATATTCGAAACCGAAAAATACCAAAAAATTTTATTTTTAAAAATGCACCAATTTAAACACACAAAACGTAAAATAATCTTTTAATTAGTGGGGATTGATTACCTTGACTCCAGGGCGGTGAATGCCATTGATGGATCCAAACAGAGATAAAGCATTAAAATTAAACTCTAGAATTAATAACTTGATATAATAATAAATCAACCATGCATCTTATGCAAATTACTAAAGACCAGTTTATGAAAACAGTGCTGCACTAGCGAGATTTTGTTTTAGTTTTACAATTTTTTCAATTATGAAAAATTTAAGCAACCTTTTTATTAGACTGTAAAAGTCATTTAAATGCCTTTTGATTGTTCCTTACACCATAAAAACCTTTTTTTAATCAAAAAGCTAAAAGAAAAGTGATCACTGTGACTTAAAGGTATCATCGCTCTCAAACAAAATCGATGAGAATTTTTCCAATTACTTTTTGAAAATAAAAGCTAACAACAATTGCTTTTTAGGGTGTTAGGTACTTTCCCAAAGGAATTTTCCCAGGGTGACTTCCCAGTAACAATTTCCCAAGTGGCAACTTCAAACGTGCAGTTTCCCAAATGGCAACTTACCAAAGGTTAGGTTAGGCCCTCTGAGGCCGAGTGATGCGACTAGGATAGGCTAGGGGCCGAGCGTTGCGGCTAGGATAGACTTGGGAAGTTTCCGATTGGGAAATTGCATATTTGGGAAGTTGCCACTTGGGGAACCCTTGGGAAGTTTCTTATTCTTTACGAAGCTGTTTGTAGACTTCTTCAAATTCTTAAAATGTCGTCTTTTCAATAAAATTTCCGGGAAATCTACAGAAAACGCTTTGCGAAAAATGAGACATTAAGGAAACAAATAAATGAATAAGATTACCTATTTTCGATAATAAGAGTCAATTTATATGTTCTCAACCTGTGTGTAAACAACTAATTGATTTACTTAAGAATTTGTGTTAGATTCTTTATCCTCGTTATTTAATAATTTAAAAAAAATGGATTTTCAAGAATTCAGTACCCAAATGGATATTTTGAACGTCGACTTTGCGCTTGAACTCCGTAACTATACATCATTATAAAACGTGTTATATGTCTCAAATGAATCCAAAAAAATCTCTACAATACTACATTCCCAGTCCAACTACCATACATTGCCGGTCACTACCTTTACTAAACTATTATAAAACACGTAAAAACTGTTATTATCATAGAATGATTATAAAGCTATTCCTTGCTTAGGCATTCCACTTCCAATATTCATCTTATCTGAAATTTTAGTAAGATCAGTTAGAATTTATGTATCAGTAAAAAACTGCCATTTACGAGTTCATATTTATTAATTCTTAATTGTCATGAAAAGTGCGGTTGTAATGTTTTTTTGTTTTGTTTATTGTTTTGATTCAAATTCAATGTGTTTAAATTGCTGCCTCCAGACCCCACTTCCACGAAATTAGGTACCTTAAAGATACCGTTCACTTATTACTTTTTGTTTTTTTTGTCAAATTTTTTAACATTTGACGTATTGATACATTTTCCCTACTTCCCCAGAAATCCCCGAGTTGAAATCTAGAAACCGGTTGGACAGAGAGAGAAGGTCGTCTTTGTAAGAACATGTTAAATCATGTTTGAACATCAATTTCTTGCGAATTCTAAAATCAAAAGTTTACATATTTTTAATTGAATGGCTAAAACATGATGTCATTTAAATATGATCATTTAATTTTTTTGGGCTGTTGCTTCGGAAAAAAATGCGTCTTTGAAAAGTAAGAGAAATACCAATGAATAGCTACTGGGCTATTTAGTTTACCATGAAATTACCCAAATAAGTAATCGGTCCCTTTAAGCAACCTTAAACATACTCACGGGGGGGGGGCAGGGGGAGCATCCTCCACTTTGAAAAACTAGCTACGCCTCTGAATATTAAATGTATAAGAAGAAGTACAAACATCTTCCCTTAGACTTGAACTAAAACTGAATTTGAGATTTTGAGAACATGAAATATTGGAAAACCATATTCTCTAATTAGCTTTAATCGTTTTCATCATGAAAATCTACTATGCGCTGCTAACAATAGCTGTGCACATTGCAGACTATGGTCAATTTGAATTCGAACCTGACCGACTCCTTGCTATCGTAGAGGAGATGCAATATCCTGTCTTTTATCGGATTTATTGACGCCAATCATGGCCCAACCTTTCCTACGGTGGTAAGCGACTATATTAATATAATGAAGAAGACTTTTTTATTGAAGTTTGAATTGTTTTCTAACTTTTTTTGAATTACAAGTGTACAAGTAATTACAGAGAAGCTTTTTAAAACAATACGTTTCAGAATTAGTTTTATAAATGATTAACCCTATCTCTGCTGGGGTACTTGAAAACCAGGATATACTGGGGGGGGGTGGGTCAATCCCATGTTTGATGTCCAAATATGACAAATGATACGAGAACTCAGGCATTTGGATTTT